ACAGAAAACATGATACCCAGTTTCAGCTTCATAGCAGTAGGTTTTATTACCCGATTCCCATCTATCTCAACGTAGGGGATGGTATGGGTGAGAGGCCAGTGGTCTCCTTCCGCCTCAAAGCGCTGTCGTTTTAGAAGCGGACAGGTGAAGATGTCGAGTACTTCAAGAGAGGGAGGCAAGCCTTCCTTTGGCAAGGATCGTAGCTTCGGCCACCTCCCTATTGCCAACCATTGAAGAGAGTTTAGGTTTTGGAGGAGCTCTCTGGGTATTGATTCCAGATTTTCAATATCTTCAATCCATAGAGTGGTTAAAGAAGAAGGCAGCACAATACCCGGCAGCCATGTCCGACAACTAGTTGACAAGAATTGAAGAGAGGTAAGGTTGTGGAGGCCGCATCCCTCCACCGTTGCCAAATGCCCATCTGGAACTGGATTGGATAGTTTTTGAGTCGTATTTGGTAGTAGGAACTTGAGAATTGCATCGTCTAACGCAACCCTTGTTAAGTTTGGGGCTAAATCTAAAAGTAAACCCCCATTCTCATTCCCACCTGGAGACGGAATCAACTCTATGTTTGGACAACCATCTATATGTAGCTCCTGAAGCGATTTCAACTGGGACATCGTAGTATTTGGGAAGGACTTGAGATTCGTACAACGCCTTATTGCCAATACCTTGAGATTGGGGATGCATAAGCCCAGATTTGGGATGGACTCTAAAGCGTGACAAGAGTTAATGTGTAATTCAATGAGATTGCTGAGGCAATCAAGGCTGGGTAAGCCTTTCAACCTTTGACAATTCCAAATTTTAATGGATCTAAGTCCTGTACATTGATGCAGCATTCCCTTTGAAATAGATTCCAACCCCTCGCAATTCTGAACTTTAAATTCCTTGAGAGAAGCTGGCAGCTGACCCCTCTGAAAAGAATTTAGAGGTGGATGTTTCCCTATATATAAATATTCAAGATTGCTGTTGTTGTCACCATCATCTTGCATCAGTATTCCATCAGACTCAAGATTTTCACATCCTTCTATTGTCAACCACTTAACTGTGATGGGCAAGGATAATGACCTGAGAGAAGGACAACCACGAAGTTCTAACTCTTCAAGTCTCAACATGTCGATGCTATTACTGTTGCTTCCGCCCATCTTCCTCATCATCAGATCAGGTAACAATGACTCCAGTGCCTCACAACTAGAGAGGACAAGATGTTTAAGACTCAATGGCAAGAGGCCTTGTTCTTTCCCTGTCAACGACACAAGCAAAGGACAACTCCTAATTTCCATTTTCTCAAGGCGAGCAAGGTTTATTGTTTCTGATCCATCCTCCCACAAACAAGTAAGTTCTTTGCACCTTCCAATTTCAAGATTCTCAAGAGCTGTTAGGAACTGTGTAAAACACATAGGCAAGCAAGACATCTCTGAAATATTCTCAATTCTCAATCGAGTGAGAGAGGTGAGATCAATCATGCTCTTCAAAAGAATAACATTGCAGTCTCCAATATGAAGATTTCTAAGTGACACAAGACTTGTGGTAGATGAGCATCTTAACTCTGGGCATCCATTTATCACAAGATTCACCAGAGAAGAAAGTTGGCTGGGTAATTGTCCTGTCAACTTGGGACAATTCCTAATCTTAAGATTCACCAGACAAGGGAATTCACCTCCACTTCCAGTTGGAGAAGTCCATTCCTTCCAATTTAACATGTTTTGAAAAACCAACTTCTCCAATGATGAGAAAGTTCCATTCCCATAAAACTCTGGACCCATCGCTTCTATTCCTTCCATGCCTTCAATAATCAATTCTTTGAGAACAGGTGATAGCCCAAGTGATGGTAACAAAGTGCATCTCTTACAATCTCTAAGCTCCAAATATGATAGATTAGAAAAAATTGGATCACCAATCCAAGAAGGGAATTCTAGGCCACCATAGGAAACAATTGTGAGACTCTTCAAATTTGAATGAGGTTTTAACCATTTGAGGACCTGCATTTCTTCATTGGTTTTATTCCTCGTATTACCAGAATCAAAAGTCCACTCCAAATGTAACTCATCAAGACCATCAATATTCTTTAGATCAGCCTCCATAGCATCTTGAACATTCAAAACATTCTCTAGATTCAGAATAGACAGTTTTCCTTTAAGTTGTGAGAAGTTTTTCAAGTTAGATAATTTCATCAATCTATTTTCCTTCCCCACAATCAACTTTGACAATGTTAAGAGGTTCTTGAGATTACCTATTTCTGATGGCATCTCTTTCAAGGAACTCGTACCTTCA